CCAGTGCCCGGGGTGCAGGACCTTACTCAGGGTGGGCGTTCAGTGGATTCGAACCACAGACTTTCCGATCATGGTTTGGCCACTATACCTACTGAGCTTGGGGCAGGGATACCTTGTAATTAAACCCAGTGGTATTCCAGCAGATCCCTCAGGTCAGATTCAGGTCACCTGAAAAAGAGGATTGTGGTTCCCTCAGCGGTCGATTACCAAGACCATGTGAAGTACCCTCTGAAAGTGAATACAGCATTATTGTCCCTGCAACACCACAGCAACAGTTATCCTTGAGACGCTTGGCAACAAGTTAAAATGCCACAGGGAGATGTACCCTCCATGGGGAACGACGCTACAGGCAAAGATCAAGGCACCATGGAGTTTGCTCCTTATTGGAACTGCAGAAAGGTATGAAAATGTAGAAAGGGGTTCAAGTAACAAGTAACAAAAAGATTCCTTAGAAACTGCCACGCAAAGACTCACAGCCTTTGCTAACCACTTGAGGAGGTATACCAGAGAGATAAAGCCCAGAGAACAAACCAGTTGTTTTTCCACTGAGCCATTCAAGATATACTCTCAGTAGTAGGTGAACAATATGAGAAGAGGCCTAGAAATCGCTTCTACAGTAGTGTAAAGTCTACAGTGACTGTAGACAGTTACGTCTTTTCATTGGCTACGATGGCCTGTGGGCCAATAGGAGCGCTGAATCCCACTGTAGACCAAGAGCACCTGGCTGCAGACACTGTGGAGCTCCACAATGGGCAGAAACACTTGACCTGCACAGTAACCAGAAACGTGTGACTTCAAACTGGAACACGGTTACGTTGCACGAGCCATTTCTCAATATGCGTGCTTTTCGTTTTCAAACCCCCACGGTCTTACACTACTCAGGTTAAACATGATATATAAGACATTTAGATAACTTAAAAATGTTTGTTTTATTTGTTCCTTAGCAAATCGGTTTGGCTGAGATCAGTGGCGGAGCGGGCAGGGGGGGTGTCTTACTGGGCTTAAGCCCGGGTTGTTTTTTCAGAAGCCCGGGGTCTTTTGGAGTGTAATTTTTTCATAGTTAGCTGCCTGGCTGACAACTGTATGAAACAAAAACTACACACAATATTCGAAGCACATAGTGCACACTGTGGGAATTTACCACTGTGCGTAAATCCCCCCTAATATTGGTATGATCCGAGCTCAGACACTAAGCGACTGAGCGAGGGGGCGGGACAGCTGCTGCCTGCGAGTGCGCTGTTGGAGAAACGTAGCGAGGCAGAGAGAGGAGAGCTGAAGTTTGACCAGGTACCAAAGCAAATCATTTATACTGTACAAATAATGTAAATATGACGGTGAATCACGAAAGATTGATGTCAAAGTGATCACTTGACCCATATTATGTTACTTGTTCTTCAAGTGAATCAACAAATGGTGAAATGAAAAAACCTTTTTGTAACAAAATATCGATTTCTGCTGTCCCTGTATCGATACATTATTAGCAAACAAACTATCACGATACTACACAGTATCGATTTTTTCCCCCACCCCTATTAGTACCGTGGTAGAGTCAGTCCATAAAGCGACATGGCGAAGCGAGGCTGTTAGTTCAGTAGTAAGCACTTGTGCCATCTGTTAATGCTGCACTAAATTCCAAGCGGGGTATGGTCTGTTGCTTCCGGGGTGCTACTCTGGAACGTGCTGTCCGGCAGGCAACTTCCACGGTGCCACTTGCATCCTCACTCCTCAGGTAAGCCACTGATCCATAGGCCCGTTCAGAGGCATCACAGAATATGTGGATGTCACATTGGCAGGTGCTTGAATCAATGCTGGAGCTGGTGTAGCAATGAGCTAATGAAATGGTTTGCAGCTGGGACAGTTCCTGCTCCCATTCATTCCAGGCCTGGAGAAGGTCATGAGGAAGGTTGGTATCATCTCAGTCAGTCCGTGAAGCCCACATCTGCTGAACAATGATCTTAGCTCTTGTGGTGTATGGCACAATGTAGCCAAGTGGGTCGTACTGACTCGCTAAAACCTTGTAGACTGTGCACAGGGTCACTTGAGCATGATCAACAGGGCGGAGCTAGTAGTACAGCCTGTCTAAAGAGCAGTGCCAATGGAGTCCCAGTACAGCTTCTTTCTGATCAGGTTTGCCATGTGTGATCCAGAGCTCAGCGCTGTCTGATTGAAGCTCTGGGGGGAGGTGGCTGATGATTGAGGGCTGGTTACTGGCCCATTGTCTTAACTCAAAACCTCCCTCATCCAGAAGCTTCTGCAGTTTGTTACTTTAGCTTCGACCACTGTCGCCGAGGTCCGGAGGCAGTTGTCGACATAGAATGACTGCATCACAGTCTCACAGACGTCGCACCTGGGTTGCTGTGATCTAGCACGTGCTTTTGTAGGGCAAAGATAGCACAGCATGGGCTACATGTGGTGCCGAAAGGGAGTACTCTCCACTCGTAGACAGAAGGGGGGTTGTCACGTTTACAGTCTTGCCAGAGCAATCGGAGGAGTGGCTGGTCTTCTTTTAGTAGTCTGACCTGATGGAACATGGAACTGGAATGAGCAATTGAACACAACTCGATTCTTGCCGTTATGCTGCACCATGTGGTGTGGGATATACAAGCTAGCAGGAGTGTTGTCAGCTCCAGGCTCAAGCTTGACAACAAAACCTTCCCGTTGTAGTCTCTGAATCTCAGTTGTGTAGGAAAGGACCTTCTCTGGTGACTTCAACAACCTCCGCTCTGTACTGTAGAGCAGAGGGAGCACCTCCTCCTTTGGCGCAGACAGGGTAGGTATGTTAGGAACTCATAGGAGTGGTGTTGCATGCCGTTGAACTCCCCTGATCTCTACTCTCTCCGTTTTAGTCTCGAGAAGCTTAATAGCGTCTTGGTCTTTTC